CGCCTCGGTGAAGCCCGCAACCTCGCCGCCGCCGCCCCAGCAGCCGCCGCAGCCGGTCCCCGCCTCCTGCGAGCAGCCCTCGGTGGACACCGCGATCAAAGTGGAGGGAGGCGCGGCCGCCGGCGACCAGATCCTCCCCGAGGCGGAGGTGCGCCTGGGCCAGGCCGGCTTCATGCAGCGCCAGTTCGGGGCCATGCTCCAGCCCGGGGTCAACAAATTCTCCCTGAGGATGTTCGGCAGCCAGAAAGCCGTGGAGCGCGAGCAGGAGAGGGTTAAATCGGCCGGGTTTTGGATTATCCACCCCTACAGCGACTTCAGGTAAGGGGGCCCGGCTGTGATCCTGTGGGTTCACTGAGCGGCTGCAGGCTTGCTTCCTCTCTCTCAGCCTTGCTTCTCAGCCGGAGTTAACTTTGCTTCCTCGCGCTGGGAGCTTGGGGCGCCTCTAGGCTCCCAGACACCCCCAGACCTCCTTCTGCACCTCGCTGAGAACTTTCCTCTGTGCTCCAGCCTCCCAACCTCGCCCTCTCCGGGTCTGGGCCGCATTAGAGGCAACCTGAAAAGGTGTTCTGAGTCTGGCCTAGCCCTGCCGGCAGCCAGGGTAAGGTTCTGCCACCTTAAGCCACACATCCCACCTCCCCCTTCTGGGCTGCAGAGTCAGGGTGGACGTCCTAGAGGCTGCTCCAGGGCTTTTAGCCTACAGAGCAGGGCCATGAAGGAAGGCAGACCTCTTGGCAGCTGGGCCAGCTCCTTGGGCGCTGACCCCCAGCATTAATATCTGCCTTCTGGTGTCCTGGGAAGCTGCAGCCGGGGAGCGAGACAGCCCTGGAGCTCCCGGAGGACTGAGGTCGCTGGGGCCTCAGGTTCAGCATGAAAGCCCCCTGCACCCACCTTAACCCTGGGCCCAGCCCCTCATGCCAAGCGGTGGGCCGAGAGTGGGTACTCTGGGTAGCTATGGTCTGGACTAGCAGGACAGCGTGACCTTGCTCACAGTGGTCAGTGAAGATGCCTGGTGTCCAGACTGATGAGCAGTTGTGCTGTGACCCTAAGCCCATCCTGTGCCCCATCCTCACCCCATTGGCCCAAGCTCCAGCAGCTGCTAGGTCTCTCATGGGTCAGTTGTGGGTTCCCAAACAAATGGTGTGACTGCCAGTCAGGCAGAGGGACCCTGCCCCCCTCCTTACCACCTGAATCAGATGCCACTGAAGAGCAGATACCACCTGGGGCCTGTGGGGGCTATCCTTGCAAAAAGAGAGATTGATGAGTGCCTCTGAAGCTGGGATCAGGGATGCACCAACCCTACTCAAGATCTTCGAGTCTCCTACTGCCCCCCTGGGCTTGCCTGGTACACAGGATTGGAGTGAGGTTCTGAAAAATGTTCACCCTTTTGAGCTGGGTTTAATTCATCTCCCTCTCTTTGGACCCTGTCCCCTGTTTAGCTCCCTTCCTCTGCCTACCCTGCTTACCTGCCAATATAAATGAGCATTTTGCCAACCCAGAGCCCTCTTTGCAAACTCCAGGGAAGCTAGGTTTGTAATGAGAGCAAAGCTGTTTTCCATCCAATGAGAGAGATTTCTCGTGCTGGGAATAACCAGTCAGGCAACACTCATCGACTTAACATAGTTGGTGGACGGAGGGCATCTACCTTTTCCTTTTTTGAAGGATTGCTCTTCCCTAACCCTAATACCCAGGGTTCCCATTCCCAGAGGGTGATGGAGGCCAGGGGACAGGATAACAGACAGTCACAGTCTTCAAGTTGTGTGGGCCAATGTGGGACCCTTCCATGAGGAACTGTGACTGGTTCCCAGTGCCAGGTCCCTAAAGCGTGGCCTCTCCTCTGGTCAGTACTGGGACCTGAGGATCCCAACCTGAGCTAGGGAGGAATGGGCAGGAGCTGCTGTCTCCTGCACCCCCCACCCCCGGGAGTCCTGGGCTCTTCCTCTCTCTGAACTCCCTGGTGGTGATGGCAGGTAGGCCATGCGAGTACCAACCTCCCTTACCTCGCTCAGCTCCCTGCCGCCTTTGTTATCTGAAAGCCTCTGTTCAGGGTTCTCACCACTAACCCCATGCCTGACAGAGAGGTCTCCAAGGGGCCAATCCCAGGCATGCCTAGCCTCCATTAACAACAGGCATTGATCGAGCACCTTCTGGAACTGAGTCTTGTCCTCCCAGTTGCCCCTTACCCTGGATGGTGAAGGGCTGGGGCCGGGTAGATTGCATCCGTGGGAACCTCCCCTGCCTTCCTGTTGTGACTGACTACCTTGGCATGTCAGTCTGTGGTCCCCCTGCTGCACAATCTCCTCCTGACTGCAGGCCACTCAGGACATGGTGGAGAGGAAGATGGTAGGAATAGGGAGCTGTGGATGCAGTGGGATTGATAAACAGGCAATAGGAGAAAGGTCATACTAGGCTTTGAATTTGGGTTTGTACAACAAGCAACAGGGACTGGTAGCTGGAAGCACACACCTTCTGTGCTCAACCTGGTGCTGCGTGGGGTGTAAGGAAAGAAATCGAAGAAAGACCATCTCTGTGTGTGTGGAGGGGTTGTGGTCACGCCTCTAGGCCAAAACAGCTGGTCTCATCTTCACAAGGTCAAAGAGGCCAGGGCTTGGCCAGGTCTTCTAAACTTAGAAAACCCACCAACTCTCAACCCAGCCTCACTGCCCCCTCAACAGCCCAGCATCCCAAGCCTCTGTCCCTCCGGTTTCACCGCTGGCCTTGGGCCTCTGTGGAGCCAGTCCCTACTGTCCAGCACAGGCTTCACGAGAGCTTCTGCAAGCATTGCTCAGGCCAGTTGAGGATTTATTCATCATTTTGACGGGCAGGAAGCATTGATCCAGCAGAATTGGTTTAATAAAGAATTGCCAGCAAACCGTGATAGATTGAGTTTGTGGTTTGGAGTTCAGGGCTCACTGTCATAGGCTACTTCCGGCCTCTCCTGTTCTGGGGTGCCTTTTCCAAGGGCTGAACTGGGCTGCGCTCTGAGGGACCCACCTAAGCTGGGCCGTGTACATAATAGTTTTCTCGGTTCCCTCTGCTTCTTGTCTCCACCCCTCACACACACGCACCACGCCCTGGCCACCCCCATGGCTCCTCCAGGCTCCACGAGCTTGTCTGGCCTCCCCTCTGCTTCCACTCCTCGTTAGCCTTTTGAACGCGTATTTAGGTTTTGCTAAGGGAAGAGGCCAGAGTGTGCAGCCGCTTGGGACGTTGCTCTCCAGGCTCCCACCCAGGGCTGGCTGGGCCTTGGGGTCCTGGGTGGGTCCTTCCTTTCACGTGAGCCAAGTCCTGGCAGCTGAGCTTGGTGTTGGGAGCCCGGGACAAAGAAAACGTAGTATCTGTGTGATCTTGTTTTTCTAAGAGTAGAGAAAAGGATGGGGGCTCCCCAGTGAAGGTGTGCCTGGTTTTGTTCCCAGAAGCTGGTCGGGCTTTCAAGAGTCAGGCTCAGGGGGTCGGCCCTGAGTGTGACATCTAGGTGTGTCTGCGCAGGTATTTTGGGACTGTGGGTGGACACTGGGGCTGGCAGGGACGTCCCTGTATGGGACGTCAGTTCTGGGGCCACTGCTGAGCCCCAACTCTGGCTTGGCCTTGGGAGTGGAGGCAGGCAGACACCTGACCCTTCTCCTCTTTCTGCCGTTCCCTTTTCTAGCCTGAGCCTTCTGAAGCTGTGCGGAAGGAAAGGAAACAGAAGGCCCTACAGGGTCCTCTGCTTGGGGTGGAAACAGCTGGGCTCCAAAATCAGGGAAGCTGGGCCGATGGCCTACTAGGTCCCGGGGGTGGCCTGAAACTGACGTCCCGTGCAGGTCTGTGGCCCCAGGCACAGCCACGGCCTACCTGCCAGCCCTGTCTACTCTGGGGCCCTGCTTCGGTTATAAACCTTCTCTGAGCCTCAGTTTTCCCACCTAGAAAAAAGGGAATCCTGTTGCGTGTGGCCACGTCAGACACCAATTGTACAGCTGTGGTCACCCAGTGCCAGTGAGGTGCGCTGTCAAGAGACCTGCGATGTTGTGAACCACACCGCCCCTGCCTGCACTGCTTCCTTCTTGTGGTTCTGAGCGGACCAGACGCGTCTTTGTCCTTGGCTCAGGCCCGTGGTTCTGAATCTGCGTCAGAGAACTAACTGAGAACCTGCTGGAAACTACAGAGTCTCTGTCCAGAAAGATATGTGTATCCAGACTCACTCAATATGACACTCAATTTCTGGGGTCTGTGGACCCCCCAAGTTGAAAACCATCTATAGGAGTGAACCCCACTCTGGGCCATCCCAGAAGAGAGTCCTGGCCTGGTAGGGGCCCGTGCTAGGCTCCCAGAGCCTTCCCTGGGGCACTCTGTCCCCTGGGGCTGGGGCCGTCGCTTGCAGGATGGAAATGAGAACAGGAGGCTGGTGGGGGTTGGGGTGGGGAGAGTTAGATGCCTGAAAAGGAGGGGTACTCTGCCTGGGGACTAGCTACTTTTCTGTTTCCTCAGTCCCATGCCTCTCTCCCTTTCAACCGTGGGAAGGGCTGTTTGGGTAGGAGGGGATCAGGAGGAGGAAGGCTGGAAGGCCTGGCTCTGGGTCTAGGGGGTTCTGAGGCTCCTTCTTAGGGGATACTTCCCGGGGGCCATGGCCCAGGAATGCTGCTTCTGCTGTGGGTGTGGAGAGCCAGGCCGAAAGGCGCTGCAGGCCTGGTGGCGCTGGGAGCGGGGGAAGGGCGCTTGGTGCAGAGGGGAACTCCAAGGTGAGCTGCCTGCTGCCTGGTGGTGCCGTCAGCTGGCACAGTGGGCAGCAGGCTTTTCCAGTGATGAGGATGTGCTCAACCTGCTAAGACTGGGGCAGGTGGAGGCTGGGCTGCGATGCCCCGCAGCCAGCTCGGGGCCCAGGTGCTCCCGGGATGCCAGGTGCACAGAAAACGCATGGGGCTGAGGGGCCAGGACCCTTGTATTGTCTGAGTGGGGAGACTTCAGCTCCAGTTTCTCACCGTCGCAAGGCTTTGATTCCTGGTCTGGCTGCTGCGTGATGAGAATGGGGGCATCTCCCCTGCCCAGCTCCACCCCATTTGTTCCCTTAGTTGGTCGCAAGGCTTCGGTTCCTGGTCTGACTGCTGCGTGATGAGAATGGGGGCATCTCCCCTGCCTAGCTCCACCCCATTTGTTCCCTTAGTTGCTGTGAGCTGCGAGGCTTCGGGCTGTCAGGTGGCCTGCCTCACACAGTGCTGGCATTCCGCCTGTCTGTCTGCCCTCTCTCACGCTTTAGAGTCCTCAGCTTTTCTGGGATGCCCTCTCAGGCCACTGCGGTGGCCCCCATCATCCATCTCTCCCACCCTGCCCATCTCACGGTGTTC